GTCCTAAGACAAGGTGAGGGAATCGTTGAGTATGCCACTCGGGTTTCGACACACACAGAGCGAAAGTATTCAGTGACAGAGAAAGAATGTTTAGCAATTGTATGGGCAATCGACAAATGGAGACCTTATTTAATCGACCGACGGTTATACATGGAAACTGATCATAAGCCGCCAAAGCTTTTGAAGACAGCGAGAGACTCAAAGGGGAATTTGTCATGGTGAATGTTACGTCTGCAGCAGTATGACTTTACTATCTCACACGTTCCTGGAAATGAAAATGTCTTGGCAGATATGTTATCGAGACCAGAAGACGAGTCTGAGTTGCCCGAGGTCGCGTACGGAGTGCATGCAGTAGAACAAGACCCACTAAGACTGGCACGCAGACAAAGGTTGGACGATACGCTGAATACAGTAATACAGGTGATCACTAACAGAATAGAAGTGGATCCAGCTACAGCGAGTAAGGAGCTAACCACACTACTCAGACAGAGAGATCGACTAAGAGTGAATGTCTACGAGACTCTGACCTGGCGAGAGGACGACGGAAGCTGGCTAGCTGTCATACCTCAATCGTCGCGCCACGACATGATAGAAGAATGCCACCAGCTAGCACATACCGGAGTGGCCAGAACAACCGACCTCTTGAAACAAAGTATGTACTGGCCAGGTACGAGAGAAGACGTAGCAAGATATGTACTTGGATGTCCACGGTGCCAGCTAATGAAAGGCGACCGGTGCATACGACCACCACTTCAGTCGATTCCAGTTACGGCGATAGGTGACTTGTGGTCCGTAGATGTTATGGGTCCATTTCCTCAGACATCCAATGGTAATCAGTACCTCTTGGTGATGATGGAACACGCGACACGATAGGTAGACGCCGTATCAATCGAAGACCAACATTCAAGGACTGTGACAGATGCAGTAGTTCCACCACGGCGTGCCAAAGACAGTACTGACAGACCAAGGTCCCTGTTTTGAAAGTGAAGAACTTACGTCCCGTTCGCAACAACTAGGCATCAAGAGGATCAGAACGACCCCATGTCATTCACAAACGAGTGGCTTGACGGAGAAAAACAACTGTACAATGCGGAAGAGGCTGGTCTCGAAGGGCGGTAACCGGGAAACGGAGCTTCCACTGATTCTACTAGCCCATCATGCTACCAACCAGGAAACAAAAATGAAATCACCTTTTCAACTGATGTATGGTAGGAAACCACGGTTGCCGATACACAACGAGATTTGGCCCCTTCACCAAAAGTTTAGTATGACGAAATTGAGAGCATAACGGAAAGAAGAAGTCAAGAATGGAACGTAGAAGAAGCGGAGTGATGCGACTTCTTGGCAGAGGGAAAAGACTCTGTACATTAACTTTGCATTCGAGAATCAAGTGAAGCTCAGAGACAGAAAATATGCAGCTGGACGAAGGCCAGGTTCACCTAAAGTCCTCCCAAAGTGAGAAGGTACATGCAGTCACCAAAAGACGGAGTCAGGTGTATACTATCAGAAGAGGTGACAACGCCGGTCGGATCGGACGATGGGTTCAGTGGGACGAGCCGGTCCATAACAATTATCAGTGAGAGAATGTATCGCTCAGAAGGTCGGAGCGCCTGCATGTGAAGCTATTTGATGGAGGCCGAGTCTGGTGGGAGCTGGCTGCGGACAAGCCGAAATTTTAAACATCAATTTACGTAAAAGCTTGCGTCCCGAAGCAGGGTGTTAGGAAAAACAACAGCAAAACTTAACCTTGAGGAACTCACCAGCCAATCACAGCAGAATTAACGCATGCAATTACGATTCGCAGATATATGGCTTAATTTTCTGAGAAACGGTCACAAGCAATACAGAATAACCTTGAGCAAGAAAGCAACCTATCAAGAGAGGTTGCTTCTCTGTTGACAATAATGTGCATAAAAATCCATAAATATCTCTTGATTTTCTCAGTAGACAATCTGTGGCCTAGTTCTTGTCTTCTTTCGTTACAATAGATTGTCGCGGTTCCAAAGAGTTGAGTAATTTAACCAAACTTAAGCCATGCACACTGTGATAATAGCAATGAATCATCGTTGGAAAGCTAAGCTGCAAACGGTTTATAAGAAAATTTGGTTACTGGAGACCACCAAGAGATGACCACGGTAAGGTGGCCCTTGCTGTTCATTAGAAGCAATATCAACCCAGAGGGATGCCTGTCACTCTGGTGGGCATTTCGTTTACGTTCTGCAGAATAATGATTTTATTCCTGTAGAATCTTAAGAAGATGTAATTATATATGTATAAATATACATGATTTATTAGCACATACGGAAACCGAGAATGATCATGTGGACTAAATGAAACTCTAATTACGACACATCGATGAAGTCGAACGACTCATCAACAAGGACAAGCTGCAGGTATAGGAAATTGATGTCACCTTACCCACGTTATACACTATAAAATGAAGAAAGAACAATTTTACTAGAAGTTCTTGACTGTCTAGGCAAGTGTGGGGGCGAAAATAAGGCAATCCCCGGGAAAAGCAGCACTTCGCAGCTGAATCTTTGGCTAATAATGTCCTTAACATGAATAGCCTACTGACCTCATCATTCAGCATAGAATGCTGCCCTTCACTGCCAAAACTGACTAGTTAGGCTAAAGCCGCGAGGTCGAGCGTCGACACAGTTCGGCACGCCACCGTGTTATGTTCCCTTGTTTTTTCTCAAATTCTAGTTGGCCAAAGACAATTTGCTCCACACTTATAATCCTGAAATGCATTTTTAATTTTGGACAACCTGTGTTTTCAATTTGGCTCCCTAAGAGTTGTCTGGTCTAAGTCGAATAGGTCCACTGGAATTTGAGGGATACACACCACCATCTCCATAAAGAGTATCTTGCGTACCTACTAACATCTTTCGTCTTCCAATAAAGGCATTCTATAACTTTGCCGAATCCATTTCGATGGTTTTTCGTAATGGAATGACTGAGCACCTAGAGAATAGCTTGCGGCAAATAGGCTGGATGAAAGACTGACTTACCGTTTATGTTGAAAGCATGAAAGACCTCGACACAAGAAATGATCAGGGAATCGTCAATCTGGCTGATATGTGAGAGGGGACCATGCCTTCTGATGCACCACAAAATTTGGCTGCGGTATCAACGGTGGAATATAAAGAGATGGGCAAGTGAACAAAAGGAAGCACTGGCGAAAGTGTGAAAAGATCAAACTGTAGAAACTGAAAAGCTAGAAAGAAGCGAAGTAAGGAGTGAAAACCATTTGAAGTGAGGGATCAAGTGAGGTGCAGACAGAGGAAATACAGTACATGGCGGGTAAAGAATTAGATTAGACCATTTATGGAAACATAGCACAAAGATCCACTTTACGCTTTGTAAAAACGAGAGGGGGATAAATGATAATCTTTCGCAGTGGTAGAAACATGGAAATCAGGAAAGGGAAATGAAGGTGACCAGATAACACTATAGTGAATGGAGGGGCTGCAGAAACGACTTTTTTTATGAGGAAACCAGTTTGTTAGATAGTTTGTTAGGTCTATCAAATGACACGTTTGAGGTCGAAAGGAAACGTTTCCCGGTAGAGAAGCAGCTGAAGAAGAAACACCGGAAGACAATAACATTGGGGAAAATCCAGTAAGAAGCAGGGGTAGTAATGACATCTTTACAAGGTTCATGGCTCTCTTAATGCATGCTGCATTTAGTTTTGATAGACGCCTCCTCCTTCACCAGTCTTTTTCATTTCACAACTACGGGTATTACCTTTATCGGCTTAGTGTAGCGAATAGTAGTTTCTTGCATATGTCAGTGAATACAAGTTGATTGGTTCTACCACATGATTCAGTGTCTTTGGAATTGTCACCTCAGAGCCTTTGCCTCACTACAGTGACCTCCTTCATACATTTCCAGTCTTTATACGTTTATTGACCGGTCCTTTCCGGAGACTTTCAGGTGTATTCATGAAGTATCAGGTACATGTGCCATCGTCTTGAATTATATTGCAAAAATTGGCTCATCGGAGTTCTGTAAACGGTCACCTACGAAGAAATTGCAAAGTATCAAGGCCTAGTCTGAACACAAGTTTCAAGATGGAGCAACCAGCCACCGACGCAGATTCACAATTTTCCTTTCATTCAGCTGCTTAAGTTGCAATGAAACAATAATATAGGCCTCCTTTCGTATTTCAGAATGCATGTTGCGAAAAGAGGTCGGTACAGTCAGTCACAGATACTATATTTACCTCATCTAAATAAGTCACAGCTTTTACGACTTAAATGTTGATTACATTCCCTAGCTACTCTGGAGTTCGCTTCATCAAGCCCTAGATCAAAAAACTTATAAAATTACCTCTTTATAAGGAGTGAAAAAATATCACTGACACATTCTTTCAGTGAATTATGGTTGGCCTATGCCTCAGGGCACATGGCTGCATGTGTGGAGACTTTTAAGCGGAAGCTGGACAATCATGCAGAAATGCATGGTTTGTGTCTCAATGGCTTACCCTCTTAAAATTTGAAACCACATTGTCAATGGATAAGCATACAAGCTAAATCCCCACGACCCGTCCTGTCTTCTCCCACTGTACCTACTACTCTATCTTTTCTTTCTTTCTTTATTATTTCACCTTTATTATTTCACTTATCTCAACCTATATTATCTACACTACAACCTATTATTATTATTTTTACTATTCTACTTTTATGACTATACGGAATGACCAACGGGTGTTAGGTCAAACTCCATTCACGGCAGCAGCTGAGTCCTAGCATACTGCACACTACAAACCACAATCTTGACCAATCCTCGCACCACTCCTCTTGGAGTCTACCAGAGCTAAAGCAGTCGAGTGACAGGATTTACTACGCATAAGTTCACCGAAGATCTGGAACCTCTACCTTACAATCAAGAAGCGAGCTCAAAGAAATCACTGGTTTATACTAGCTCGTAATCAGGATATTGGATATTGGATGTGATAAATATTTTGTTTGAATACACTACAAGCTGTTTGAAGGTCAAGACATCTGCTTGAACTTGACCTTTGATTGCAGCATTGACCTACCTTATGTCGCACGTTATATAACTCTCGGAAGTTAGTTTAATTTAAATGCTCTGCATGATTATCTGTTTATAAAGCTTTATTTGGTAATTTTGTCTTCATGAACTTACGACTGTTTCAACATGTATTCGAATATTTGTAGGTACATGACGATAGATATAATAGTGCTAGCATGGAAATTCTCCATGGGTCACTACCAGTGCTGGTTATCTGTGTCCGGATTATTGCTGAAATCGCTCTATACAGCATAGACTTATCAGTAAAGGTTTTAGACAAGATTTGAGACTTCTGTTTCAGTTAATATGTCATTACATTCATGCTATCGCACCCCATAACATGTACTGTTTCCTCCTGAATTTGCAAAACGTATTCGGTAAAAAAGCGTAATTAATTTTTCAATGCTGTGATAATCCGGTTTCTCAATGCATTCTGTGTTGCCCGGAGAATTCTGACTTGTAGGCAATCATTGTTGATATTTGTAGTCGGCTAGATGTTAAACCAGGGGCCTTGTAAGTTCGTGATATCAAGAACGGAGAACTTCGTCCAATGTAGTTATTTTTGTCATGCTAATCTAGCCTCGAAGGTCAGTTGTAAGTGTTCTATACTCATGTCAAATAATTGATTATTCAACTCACGAAAGGTCTTGACTCGATGCAGGGTGTCGTACATATGCATTCGAATGACTACCCTTCACTGCAAACTATTTCGTACTGTATTTTGAGACTCGCTGTAGCAAATTGATTCAGAATCGAAACTCTCAGCTAAACACTAGCCATCATTTAATACAAAAAGCTCCTGCTAGAAGAATAATAGGCCCTAGACTCACAATGACATGGTAAGCTAACACAGGGAGAAATTACAGGCAGTAGAATGTACTATTAAGACTTTGTGTTCCGTAGTGACGAACGAGATAAAACTTCCCAAACTTGGCCACATTTGTACAGAACAACCTTAGCAAATATTTCAGTAATTCTTTTACATAATGGTATAAACACCCTTTACTTGTTCTAATCGGTGTCTTGGCGTCTCAAGGACCTTTTTAAAACCGGCTTAGGATGTTTTTCTTAACAGTAATCTAGAAAATACTCGAGTTGGCTGTCGTCTTTCGGTATAGTATGTCTTGCAATGACCAATAAGTACTGAGTACTGCTTGTTGAGCGTGTATATTTCTGGATACTCTGGCCAATCAGTTAGCTTTAATATCAAACATTGGAGATTTAATTAATTGCATCTGGGAAGCACCAAAGCCACTTTAGTGTAGTTTGAAACATAGTGTTATATTTATCCATGTTTATTTCTTTAAAGTGTCACATGTCTTCCATGTAACCTTTCTGAACCCTTAGTGAATTTGGTAGTGACTCCAGCTTGGTAGTCGTGCTCTTTTAACAGTGGGTGAAATATGTAAGGGATAGCTGTTCTTTATCGTTCTGAGTAATATATCATGAAATTCTTAACAGGTCCTTCTCTGTAATACTTAGCCGTGCGCTAATGATGCATGGAATTGAAGTGAAACTGAGAATGCTAAGGTTATCGGCTACTCAAATTTGTCCCACCACAGCTTAAACCTGTTTCAAACTCCTTATCTTATTTGAATGGCATATTTTGTTCTCTGCCATCTCCATATACTATGTGGATATGTGGCTTGTTGGCGTAACTACTCGACTTGATTTCTAATCCAGACCCATCTACTTCCGCTTTGGTAGCTGGATAGTATTATCAGCTTGCACAAGATAATTTTCTGCTTAATGTCTCATTAAATATTGAAGCGGTTGTGGGAGGTGTTCACTGAGTTTCCTAATTTTAGCAATGTACACATGAGAGATTATTTCAACTCGTATAATGCGGCTTTTATAAGACGGCTTTTACTCCTGGAGAGAATTATGAAAAGATGACTCCGTCGCTGCATATTTTTTGAGGTATTTTGAACCTGTATGCCTGAAATATAGGTTTGTCGTGACATCCTAACTCGATTTTCGCTCCCAAGTAATGCCTTTTTAGTATTTACTAAAAACTTCGTTTCCACTTGCTTAGCCTTATGCGGTGCTGCATTACTCACGACTGGCCCATTTTGGAATATGGCTAGTACATTCTTCAAATTTTTAAATGCTATTGACAGCAATATCTTTGTGCCTCATTAATGTAATATTCCGTCTTCCTTCTTTTCTTATTTCAGACGAGTAGGTTTTTCCCCCACTGGACTTGGTCTTCGCCTTCTAACAACTGATACCTCGAAAAGAAAAATAACAATAATAATCAGTAGCATTACAATGACCACTCTATTGTATTATATATTCTGGTTTTATTTTTGTGCGATCACCTGGTTCTTCTGGAGTTCAATGGTATCTGCATGTTTCAAAGTCCAGATTATTCAACATCTATATCTGTACATGTTGGATAAATTATTCTGTGTATGTTCCGTCTTATGTTATTTTAATCGTTTACATCTAGTATGCTGCCTCTGCTGTCACCGTGGAAGATGATCGTAGAGGTGTGATAAAAAAGAATGATAGTGTCGAAAATCTTGATACTTACAGTTAGTTTGTTATTATTATCATTATTATTATTGATCCTAATAACTATTGATTTCAGATGATGAATTGATTGAAAGAGATATTGAGTTAACTGAAGGCGGTGTAAAAGTCAAAAGTTCTCTTGCCCCCGACAATAAAGGCTTCAAATTACACTATCCTATCTATTTGGCAAAATGTGGCATAGAGGTTTGACGGCATTCATCATTGTGAATTATTTTGCTTTTAGGCTATTATAGAAGACTCTGTCACTAAGCGGTTCTCAGCTGCTGAACTAAGAGTTTGGAATTTTTTAAGTCGAAATCAGAGTTATGTCTATGTTAAGTAAGTGTACTACTTTATGTATAATTATACATTTTTCCATTTTTTAGAAAAGATAACCATACAACATTAATGTGTTTATGGCTTATTGGTGTGATTGTTCGCTATGCCATATTCTTGCCATGCAGGTAAACTCTACTGATTTCATTAAATAATAAGTAATTTCTTAAAGACTTTTTGTCTTTTTCTCGTCTCTTCTGTTCACATGGTTTGTGGGTGCTTTAGCACGTAAACTACCTCCATCTAGGTAGGTTTTGTATTTTTTTTCTTAGATAATAATTATTGATTAAGATTGAAAAAATGGTTGGCCACGGAAGGGATTCAAGCTGCTGTGAGACTTAATTTATGCTCATTCTCTGCAGTCATTCGTTTTCATAACAGGTTTGTTCAAAATTGTATTTTATCATTATATGATTAACTTATCAGTGGTTTTTCGCGTTAGTAAATTGAATAAAGTGGGTGAATGTTAATATAATTTTGCAGCTTATAATTATTTCATGTAATTATGGCACAGTAGTAGACTGACTGACTAGTTTCAACACCGATATGCAGCAATTCCAGTCGCCACACTCCATGTAGCACACAAAGCAACAGAAGAAAGTAGAAGAAATGCAAAATAGACAGTAAACAGGGATATAAAGCAAAAGTAATAGTAATATCGAAGAACAATATAGTTTTATTGGGTATTATAAGTCACAAGGAGTGGATGCATCTGCTCCAGCCATTGAGAACGATTTTGAGCCATATCACCGATTGTCTCCAGCCTTCATTGGTGTTTACCGTCCTGAGGACCCCAACCAGGAAGTCTACACCTTCCTACGTGAATGACTGGCTGGCTTGAACTAACTGTTGTGAATTTCACTGACTGATGAAGCCATGTTTTGGTTTGATCACCACTGGCTCTTTTCCAACCTGAGCAATCCTATGTCAGCTAACATTGCCCTCTTGTCGAGGAAGGCAGGCGATGGCTAGGGATGCGTAACACATGTCCTAACCATCACAGTCTATGTAGCTTCACAGCCTCATCGATTGATTTTCCCCTCACCTCAACATTGCTCCTCGTATTATGCCACTTCATACGGGAGATAGAACGCAGACACCTATGATCAAAGACAACTAGCTAGCCAGGCGTTTCATGTCTTCCACTTTCAATGGCCATATCTCTCAGCCAGCTATGAAGGAGGACAGAGCGGACTGCTGAGCAGTACACACGGCCTTTGGTCGATAGGCAGCCGGATATCACGTCTACGCCAGAGATTGCGCAAACTGACATATGCGAAACGAGCCTTCTGCATCTGTTCAGAGATCAACCCGGGGCACAGTGGTAGAATGCTCGCCGACCACGCCCCATGTAATTCGACGCACTCCTTTACCTCGACGAGCAAGTAATAAAATTAGTAAAGAGGAAAGGTTGGGCGTGAGGCTAGCAACCCCATCCCGTAAAAATAAACACCACTGCTACCGAAACTTCAAGCCTCTAGCTTGAAGCCATTCTATGTTCCACTGGGAACGTAAATGAAATAAAATATAAATAAATAAATGCGTAATATATCGTGCCTAAAATTCTGTCCATTAAATAATAATAATAATAGCATTAGATTGGGAAATAATGCAGAAGATTTGTAGCTCAGGTGGATGATTTTGATTTAACTGTATCCCTTGCACGATTATGTCATTCATAGAGAACTTAAATACGTTCATTTCGTACTAAAACTTTCACCAAAGATGTTGTCTAGAAGGACAACGAAAGCTTCGCAATTAAAATCACCGAGCTCAGAGAACACAAGCAAATCAAAAGTACTAGATTGTGTGTGTATAACTGGAATAAATCTACTACAGTCTGTTTTAGCTATTTGGACAGACTCTCCTTCATACGAGTGAACAATTGCCTTTCTTTACAACCAACGTATGTGCATTCAGAAGTGACGAAGATTCGCGTCCAGTCTTTTTTAATCACTTCTTGTACACAGTCTCTTTAAAAATGAGTTCTATAGAAATTTGATGAGTCCATAAAATCCTCTTCTTTACCAATTGTCGCTTGTTCCGAATTCCTGCAAATAAATAAACACTTTCTCAGTATGTAAGGAATAAGATTCACGTGTTAAGCACTAACGTCAAGTCAGTGCTTATATAAGGTTTAGAAACGTTTCGCGTCTCGAAAAGCATTTCCAACTATCTGCAGACTTTCAACAGCTGTCTACACTCCATAGTGATGGCCACTTGGGAAGGATAAGCAACTAGGAACGCTGGAAGAGACAACAAACCAACCAAGAAGCTATCACTTGGCGAATATGGCACCAGTCAATGAAATCTACAACAGTTAGTTTAAGCCACGTAGGAAGGTGTAGACTTCCTGGTTGGGGTCCTTGGGATGGTAAAAACCAATGGTTGGAAACAATTGGTGATATGGCTCAAAGTGATCGTTCTCAATGGCTGGCGCAGATGCATCCACTCCTTGTGACTTATGATTTCCAATTAAACTGTTTTGTTCTTCGTTATTACTATACCTTAGTCTCACACCTCTGTTTACTGTCTATGTTATGTATTTCTTCTCTTGCTTTGTGTGCTACATGGAGTGTGGCGATTTGAACTGCCGCACATATGTGCAAAGTTCTATGTCGAAAACCGACCGACCGATATGGCAAAGGAAATAGAGATACACTTGAACATAGGCTTACGAAACTGTTAAATGACATCACTCATCAGGTCGTCTTTCTTTAGCTGTTTTTATTCCTTTAAGTTCCCAGTGGAACATAGGATGGCTTCAAGCTAGAGGCCTGAAGTTTCGGTAGCAGTGGTATTGAATTTTACGGGATGGGGTTTCTATCCTTGTAACGACCGAAGACAAAGGCCAGGCAACAGATCGTTCATTGAGAAAATCGAGAGGTATTTAAAGATTTCTGTGTACATTCTTATTCTTTATTTTAGCAGAGAAACAACGACTCCTGATTGGTTGTTTTCTTGCTGAAGGTTATTCTGTACTGCTTGTGACCGTTGCTTACAAAATTATCTATATGTCTGCGTATCGTATTTCGTTGTTGAGTTCCTCAAGGTTAAGCGTTATTTTTTGCCTTTTCTTATGACCCCGATTCGGGACGTAAGCATTGACGTAAATTGTTGTCTACAATTTTGGCTTGTTCGCAGTCAGCTCTCACCACAGCCTCATACCCAACCTTCCCTCTTTACTAGTCTTATCACTGGCTTATCGAGGTAAAGGGAGTGCGTAGGTGGCCGGGGATTGAACCCCAGACCACATGGGGTGTGGTTGGCGAGCAGTCTGCTGCTGTGTTACCGTAATGAGAAAAGACGAGTTTGATGTGGGCCTTAGGTTGACGTGGGGGAGATCGTGTGTGAAGGAAATGAAGGCTTATAGACAATTGTGCAGCCAGCTAGTGAGAATTGTATAGAACACAGTGAAATGTAGATGTGTGTTGCTGAAACCCAAGGGAATAATGATAAATCGATAAATCTCTTATGCAGTTTGACTTGTCATAGAAACGAGTGCATTCTGCGTCAAGAACTTGTTGTGATATTTCTTCCCTTCAATGTAACACTGGAACTATGTTATTTGCAAACTTTTTTCTGCAAAAACGTTATTTTAAATTCCACTCTAAAGCTTGATAGTTGTACAAAAATAGTACCAAACCACTTATAAACGTAAATGTTATGTGTTTTCTCTGAATAAATCACTCAGGCCCCTACTATATACTTTTTGTGCGTAACTTTATGAATGAATAGCACAGCTTTTCTTTTTGTTTGTTTCTTTTTTACTGAAAAGTAATCGTGTTTTCTCTCTCTCTCTCTGTTTTACAACTTTAAAAAAATATGTATGTATTTAGAGAAAATCGTCCTCGAGAAAACACAATCTGTGTAGCCAATCATACGACGCCTTTCGATTGGTGTGTTCTATCATCTGATGTCACTTATGCTGTGGTAAGTAAGTTTGTGTGCTTTACAAATTCTTATTATTATAACATTTTCAGTAACAGTATGTTTTATTCCAGTACAGCTTTATTCTCTTGGGTAGAGACACTTAGCTTTAAGCCTGTAAGTCTCAGGTTCGAATCCCACCCTATCTACCCCAGGTTGAACAACTCTGTCTGTCTGTTTTCGACATAGAACTTTGCACCTATGTGCACCAGTTCAAGTCGCCACACTCCATGCAGCACACAAAGTAAGAGAAGAAAGTAGAAGGAATGCATAATAGAGACAGTAGACAGGGATATAAGACAAAAGGAATAGTAATAACGAAGAATAATATAGTTTCACTGGAAATTATAAGTCACAAGGAGTGGATGCATCTGCACCAGACATTGAGAACTATTTTGAGCCATATCACCAATTGTCTTTAGCCTTCATTGGTTTTTACCCTCCTGAGGACCCCAACCAGTCAGGAAGTGTACACATTCCTACGTGACTGGCTTAAACTAACTGTTGTGGATTTCATTGACTGACAAAGCCATGTTTTAGTTTGACCACCGTTAGCTCTTTTTCAGCCTGAACAATCCTATATCAACTAACATTGCCTGTTGTTGAGGAAGGCGATGACTAGGCATACTTAACACATGTCCTAATCATCTCAACCGATGTGACTTCACAGACTCGTTTATTGATTTCCCCTCCCACCTACCTAGCACTCGACCGACGCCTAACCTCAATATTGCTCACCCTATTATACCACTTCACACAGGAGATAGGACACAGACACCTATAACCAAGGACATCTAGCTGGGCTTTTCATGTCTTCCACTGTCAATGGCCAGGTCTCATAGCCATAAAAGAGGACGGAGTGGACTGCTGAGCAGTACACACGCCCTTTGGTTGATAGCCAGCCGGATATCACGTCTACTAAGCCAGAGATGGCGTAAACTGGCATATGCGAAACTAGCCTTCTGTATCCGTACTGAGATTTCGTCAGAGATCAACCCGTTGGGGCTAATGGTACTTCCTAAATAAGTGAAGCGGTCAACGTGCTCTACTACTTCACTCCCTATCCTTAAACTAGGAGTCAGTGTAGTCCAGTCCTGTAACATCATCTTACGTTTGGTGGGAGCGAATCGCATGCCAAACATTCGTAGATCGCAGCTCAAGGTGTTCAGAAGACTCTGCTGGATTTTGTCAGCGTCTTCACCTAGGAGGGAGAATTATTTCATCTGCATATTCTAATTCAACGAGATTATTCCCTGGTAATAAGTCAATCCCTGAGTCTCTGAAGTGAGTTAGGGTTAAGTCCATTATTACATCTATGATGAAGTTGAATAGAATTGGGGATAATGGGCATCTCTGACGGACACCATTTCAGATGGCAACTCGCCGTTAGCCCTCACCTGGCTGCACAAGTTCGAGTAGAGTGCCTTGATCAGTGCAATGTGTTTTCTCGGCATTCCCTTTACAGCCAAGCATCGCCAGAGTACCTCTCGGTCAACAGAATCGAATGCTGCCTTTAGGTCAAGAAATAATGATTGTTGGACGCCGGTTGAACAACTGGATAGTATTACCAGTCCTCACACACCATGTGTGGCTCATTATCTGGTACATGTTTGCATTCTATTCTTCGTGTTTAATGGTAGAATGTATGCTGATGAGTAATACTGAAGTTAGGCTAAAGTGCTATGTCAAGAGGGTAAGTCAACCGATGGAGTTGTGAAGCTACATCGATTGTGATAGCTTAGGATATGTATTGCGTATGATAACCCACCGCCTTCTTCGACGAGTAGTGTTAGCCGACAAAGGATTAACTTAGAAAGGAGTCAGAGATGATCATACCGAAACGTGACATCAATCGATGAAGTCCTTGACAGTTAGTTTGAACCAACCACTTAGAGAGGTGTCAACCGTCTAATTGTCCTCCCCCAGATTCTAATAACTAATAGCTGGAGACTATTGATAGTGTAACGACATAAAAGAAAGGCTTGGCCACAGATTGTTTATTGAGAAAATCAAGAGATATTCGTAGATTTTTGTGTACATTATTGTTAGCGGAGAAGCAACGTCTTCTGATTGGTTTTTTTCTTGCTGAAGGTTATTCTGTTATTTCGATAGAGAAAGAAAGACCAGATTTGCAGTATAAAATGATATCATTCTATTTCACAAGTTCTCATCAGCTGCAAACTACCTGAAATCACAATGGCTATAAATAATAACATTTCATACTTCATTGTTTGAAAGGCAGTAGAGAAACCATTATGAGATGAATGCATCCGGAATATAAGCGTTAAAATTTCATAGTTTAAGTTACTATCAATTTATATACTATCAAACTATGAAAAAAGAAGAAAAAGAGGGGGTGAGAGAAGACAGAAAAATCTAATAAACAGTGTCAACATGACAACTCAAGAAGGTCAAAGTTCATCATTTTGAAAACTTGCTTAGTGAGTTGACTTCACTAGTGTGTATGAGTAATCAGTGTAATGAAAGTGATATGGTTACCAAGGGAGTGAGAGATTGACTACACTCTCTTTTTGTGTGCATAAGTTTGGTCTGAGACGTTTGATTGCAATTGCTTCAGGAAATCGTAGTAGATTCGCTGTCCTTTGTATGTTTAATATTTTGAAGGATTTGGAAATCTCGACAAAATGGCCTGTATCCACAAGGTGTCTGGTAATTGCACTTTGTGAATATCTGCTTCCTTTTAAGTATAAGTTTCTCGGAATATGCTCTAAAAGCCCGATAAAAGTCCTTCTTTCTGTCCTTCCGAAGTACTTGCTGCCGCAGGTGCACGTAAATTTATAAATGCAGTTGGAGGTAACATCAGCAGGGTACTTATCCAGTTTCGATTGGCTTATAGAGCTTACACTGCAAATCTGGTCTTTCTTTCTCTATTCTGTTATTGTTTTTGTGACTGTTTCTCAGAAAGTTAAGCCATGAATCTGTGAATCGTATTTGCCCACGCTAAGTCTGCTGTGATTGGTTGGTGATTTTCTCAAGGTTAAGCTTTGTTCATGTTTTTCCCCATGATCCGGATTCGGGACTTAAACACTGAAGAAAATTGTTTTCTACAATTTTGGTTGGTTCGCAGCCAGCTCTCACCACAATGTTATGGCTGAGATGCATTCATTCTCTGTAATCTCACGCGATCCATTAAATCTTCAAGTTTTTCTGTATTACTGTTCTTTTAACCTCACATTTCTGCTCATCATAGATAGTTCTTCTGAATCTCTGTTTTGTCTGCCAATGTGTGATACATGGGATGTGGTAACCTGAACTGGGAAATCTCTGTGCTAAGTTCTTACGCTGAAATTCACTCAGTCAGTCAGCTTGATTTCTTTGACCTTTGATTATGTTAAAGTCAGATCTCTTAGCAGATAAACATTACGCTGATTGTGTATGTAATCAAGTGTTGGTTTGTAGGAATTTGATTGATTGGTTACAGGATTTATTCATGAGCTGACATTGGTTAGAGAACCATTGGAAAACCAGCTGGGGGTACTGCCAGACAGCTGTTTTGTCAGCCTAGTCTGGGACTCTTCATCAGGACGCACCCACAGGGGTTCGAACCCAGGGCCTTCTGGTAACAAGGCTAGCGAAGTCGTGGACCATTAAACCACTGGGACCCGATCCAATGACTAGTCCATGAATTCCTTCTACGAATTCACGACATAGTGCGACTGGCACTAGCCAATGTCATCGATGGCGAGTATTTGTCCTCACACCCGACCTGCTGCACCCTACTGGTCACGACTTCCCACTAGAACCCCAGGTAACTAACTACCTACCTGAATAGGGCAAGTCACCAGAAAACATCCCATCTATATTCATAATGTAGGCGACTAGACTACTGTGTAAAAACGTCGAGAATAAGTTCAGGTATAGCGATTCTTATCTTAGTTGCCCAATATTGAAATATAGCTTGCGCGTAGAATGTTCAACCTGGTGGTTGCCAACCGTGCGCGTAGTCTGTGTCCGCCTCCCGGCTTTGACGTATTCGTTAACCTCACGTAGCAATCCCACCTCGTTGTAAAACAAAAACGCCATCGCCAGTGAAACTTCAAAGTTCAAGTTTGAGAAACCTGAAAGGAACAACCTCCTTTACCTACCTGGGAAGCATCGTTTCAACTACAGGCGAAACTGACGAGGATATCAAAGCAAGACAAGCTTTTATTTCTCTCAAGTCTTTGTGGAGGTCAACAGCACTCAGCATCAAAAATCAGAACCGGATCTTCAACTCCAATGTGAAGGCAGTGCTCCTTACTATGTGGATCAGAGACTTGGCCAGCGCGTCATGAAGGGAACCTAAAACAAAATACAGACCTTCATCAACAGCTGTCTTCGCTCAATAACACTCAAGATCAGATGGCCTGCCAGAAAAGATCAGCAACAGAGATCTCTGGCAATGAACGAACCAACCCAGAAGGAACCGATTGTGCAACAAATATGCAGGAAGAAATCGAGGTGTACTGGATTGTGACCATACACTGAGGAAACCATCAAGTGACATCACTAGACAGACCCTCTAGTGGAACCCGAAAGGGAAGTGGCGAGTTGGCCGTCCAAGGGTGACTTGAAGGGAGGTCATGTGAAAAAGAGATGTGAGGCATGTGGGCAGACGTGGGGCCAGATGAAAACTTTAACAGAGAACCGAACGCGATGGAGGCGTGCGGCTGAAGCCCTATGTTCGTCTAGGAATTCAAGAAAACAATAATAATAATATTTCACTCAATATTCAAAGGAATGAGAGAGAATTTTTAGACGCAGCACGCTACGATTACTAGTTGGACTGACTCAATAAACAATGAGTCAAGAAGTGCATATATTGAAATTATAGTTTATCTCTATTAAAATATTTACACTTGTTTATCGAAAATTTTGATATTTTTGATGAGATGTAAATTCTAAACAGCCATTTGTTTTTGTACACTACAGGTAACTTAGTTTACCCTAACCGAACGAATATTTTCGATGTGGTGATGGGTTATTATTATTGTTTCCTTTAA